CCCTCAATCTCATCTTCAAAATAGAGATGCAAATTAGGGAAAGCTCCTTTTATGTCCTCTTCAACCTCAAGTTATAAGAATGGGCATGGTTTTAATTGTTCACACAAACCCTAATTTATAGAATCTACTCAAAGTTATCCCCAGAATCTAGTTTTTCATTCACTTAAATCTGTTATTGCAACTATAGCGTTGAATTTCTATCTCTCTCAACAAATTCACAAAATTGGCTGAATTTGATAATTTTAGAGTCTGTTACACCATAATATCTGCCACATCACTTGATCCCTGCCACATCAGCATCTTAGTACAGCTCAAATTTGATCATGTGAGGGCACGTGATATTTACCTACCAATTTCATTATCGGAGGTGACGAAATTCGCCTAATTGGCATCAAATGTTAAGGTTTAATACCAAAATATCACTGAAGTTAGAAAAGTGCCAAACTGATAAATGGGTATTATAAAAATACTAATATACTTAAAAGTCTGTAGCCATCTTGGTCCATTAGTACAATTATATAAAAGAAATATATAAAGAAACTTCAATATTTTGAAATTACTACTTTCAGCCTCACAATTAATATATGGAAGGAGAAATGTCTACAATTCATCCCTTATTTAACTACCCATTGTTGGTTGTTCATATATTAAAATAGATTTTGTAATTGTCCCCATTGCGTTTTTAATATAGTGGTATATTTATGAGATAATTTAGAATAAATAAAAGTATATAATCTATGTATTTTGATGATATGATCATATATTCTTAACTCGTCTCGATTGATACTCTCAAGTAGGGTTGTCCATCCGGGCCGACCCGGCCAGGCCCGGAAAACCGGGCTCGGGCCAGGCAAAACAGGAGCCCGGACATGGGCCTAGTTGCCCCGGGCCGGGCTCCTGGCCGGCCCAGTATTTTTGTATTTTTATTATTTAAAAGTTTTTACTTTTTTTAAAATTTGAAGAATACAATTCCAAAAATAAACATAATTTTTATAAAAAAAATTATATTATTAATCAATTATAATTATGTAATTTATAAATATAAAAAATTATAGAAATTAAAACATTTGTAAAATTTATAGAAATAAACAAAATTAAAAATAATTATAGAATTTAAAGGCCAAATCAAAGACCTCTAAATATATATGTTGTGACTAGGATTTGAACCACTAACTTACTCTCCAAACTCATAAATTTTACCACTAGACTAAGTAGCCCAAAGTATTCATGTCATTCAATATATGTATATGTATATATATACACACACACACATATACATATATTATACATAAACAAATTGTAAATACTTATAGTAATTACATAAACAAGTTGTATTATACATAAACATATATATATATACACACACACACATATACATATATTATACATAAACAAATTGTAAATACTTATAGTAATTACATAAACAAGTTGTATTATACATAAACATATATATAAAAAATATAAATTATATATACACACACACACATATTTTATATAAGAGTATAAATATATGGGAAATATCAAATATGTAACTAAGGTGTCACCTTAGGTTGCACCTAAGGATGCGCAATCCGGACCGTCCATTTTAAAACCCTCAAAAAAATCTCAGCATTCCATTCAAAACCCCCTCCCTCAAAAAATCCCTACCCATTTTCTCATCTAAAATCAGATCTGGCCA